GCGTGAGGGAGGCAGGTAGGGGAATGGCAGGGCCAGGCAAGCACTGGGAGAAGAGCAGTCCCCACCCAAATCCTGCTGCCTGCAGCCTCCACCACCTCTCCCTCTTACCTGGTGTGTGTGTGTGTGTGTGTGTGTGTGTGTGTGTGTGTGTATGTGTGTGTGTGTGTGTTTCTAGCAAAGGAGGAACAGAGGAACAGTTGCTACAGGCAAGGTTGACCAGTGTCTGGTTTAGGATTGGCAATCCATGTCCACGGGACACCTCCAGTCTTGCCTTGCACCCCTAAACAGTTCAGGGTTGAGGTAACTCGACCTGCTGTCTGGCTTCATCAAGTGCCCATGATCTCTGAAAAGGACCATAGTGTGAAGCAGGTAGGCCTGGGGTGGGTTCCTTTCCTGGTGCCAGCCAGGAGAGTGCATTCATCACTGCTGGGAACCCGAGAGGAGATCTGGGGCCTTCGGGCAGTGTAGCTGAAAGACGGGTTAGAGTCTTTGGGAGATGCAAATGGACAGTGGGCAAGGTGGGGAGTAAGGAGCTTTGTAAGAAGAGGACAGGGTCTTTACAGACATGCAGGAAGATTCTGCTATGGGAGGGTGTACTGGATAGCTTTAGTCGTCAACTTGACACACCTGGATAGAGGGAGCCTTAACTGGGGAATGTCCTCCATTGGACTAGCCTGTGGCCATGTCTGTGGGAGTATTTTCTTGATTTTCAAGTGATCTGGGAGGGTCCAGCCCACTGTGGGAGATGCCACCCTGGGCAGGTGGTTCTGTATAGTATAAGAGCATGGGCCAAGGGAGCAAGCCAGTAAGCAGCATTCCTCCATGCCCTGTGCTCCAGCTCCTGCCTCCAGGTTCCTGCCCTGAGTTCCTGCCTTGGGCTCCCCGATGAACTGTGACCTAGGAGATGTATACTGAATAAACCCTTTCCTCCCCAAGTTGATATTGGTCAGAGTGTTTTGTTACAGAAATGGAGAAACAAACTAGAACAGAGGATGAAGGAGATCTTTTACAGAGGTGTTTTCTCAGGAAAGTAGGAGACCAACCAACAGCTGCTGAGACAAGGTGGAGGGGTCAGGAGCTTGAGGGACAAGATGCCTGAATTCTGGTCTTAGAGAAAAAGAGCTGAACTAGATCCAGTATTAATAGGCAGCTCCATCTGGAGGGCACAGGGTTAGAATCAGCAAGTGTCATAGGACCTGATGGTAATCCTAGAGTTTCTTCTCCTACCAGGAAGGAAGGCTTCTTGGAGAAATCTTTGATTCCAGGACTGGAACAGAAAATGGACCATGTAAGGCACCTTCTCACCAGAAAAGGATATTTTCTAATCTGTAAATTCATTTGGATAAAAACTGATGTGAAAGTTAAATCATAACTACTTACACATGTAATGAATCCCTTTTAAGGAAAATATACAGTTACATGAAATTAAAACCAATGGAGAACATAGTTCTGTCAAAAAGGAGTGAGAGAATTCTCAAAAATTATGTTTAATGGTCTGGAGAGATGGCTCAGTGGTTTAAGAACAAAGATTGCTTTTGCCAAAGACCTGAGTTCAGTTCCCAGTACCCACATCAGGCAGCCCAAACTGCCTGTAACTCCAGCTCCAGAGGGGATATGACACTCTCTTCTAGACCCCCCCCCATCCCACACACAAATACCTGCAATCAAAAATGAAATAAGTATTTTTACAAAATTATATTTAACAGGGCAACAGGGTAAAGTTGCCTGTGGTCAAACCTGAGTTTGATTCCCAGGACCCACATGGCAAAAAGAACTGACTCCTGCAAGTTGTCTTCTGACCCCCACACATGTGCCATGGCACATGTGCCCTTTTCAAAATAAATAAATGTAATGTTTTTTAAAAAACTGTAAAAAGAGACAGGTGTAGTGGTGCACACCTTTAATCCTAGCACTGGGGAGACATCTTCATGTATGCAGAAGAACCAGCACCCAGGTCCTTGGATTTCACCCTATGCTCACCCTAAACCTAATGAGACACACAGCATGAGAAATATGTCAGCATGATTCAGTGAAATGAAACCAACCAGCTACACACAAAACAGCTTTAACAGCCCTGCTTTCTTTTTTAAAAAATATTTATTTGGGGGCTGGAGAGATTTCTCAGTGGTTAAGAACACTGGCTGTTCTTGCAGAGAACCTTGGATCAGTTCCCACATGGCAGCTGACAATTGTATATAATGCTAATTCCAGGGGATCTGATACCCTCTTCTGGCTTCCATGGGCATTACATGACATAGGTACATTTATATACATGAGGCAGAACACTCATAAAATAAAAATATTTTTAAAGATTTATTTTTATGTGTATGTGTGTATATGTCTATATGAGTATATTTTCATGTGCATGCAGTGCCTGAAGAAGCCAGAAGAGGGTGTCAGATACCCTGGAGCTGGAGTTACAGGTGGTTGTGAGCTGCCCAATGTGAGCTCTTGGACCTAATCTTCAGTCCTCTGCAGGAACAGCAAGTGCTCTTAACAGCTGAGCCATCTCTCCATCCCAAGCTCTGCTTTCTAAAATTATGAAGTTCAGGGCGGGCATGGTACCAAACACCTGCAATCCCAGAACTCAGGAGGCTGAGCCTGGAAAACCAGTTTGAGTTCGAAGCCAGCTTGAGCTAAATAGGGACTACCGAGCCAGCTTGAGCTAATAGCAAGACTGTCTCAAAATACAATGAAATCAACAAGCAAAATTGGACCTTATTTTGAAAACCGATGACCTCCACACTTACATCTCTGTCTAGACTTGTATAGCCTACTGGCCACATAATACATGGCCCTGGGGTTTGTAACATGCTCTGCTTGTTCACCCCATCTGGCCACTTGGCCCTCCACAGCCACCCCTGGCATGCTGATGGCAGCAACACTTCTCCAGAGGCTCTGGTCAATATCTCAGAATCACCCAAACTCCTGCCTCCCTCCCATCCCCTTACCAGCGCTCTCACAGTGCACCCTGTCAACCTGTCCTTCAGAGTCCACTCCTTCCTCACCACCCAGGTTTCTGCACCACCAGCAGCTCCCTGGTTATCTCAGAGCCTCCTGCCTACCTGATCCTCTTCTCTCTGCTCTGCACTTAGGTGTCCACTTAGCAGCTACAACACAGGCTGTGCATGTTCTCTGTGTGTTGAGTCCACACAGAGCTGTGCTCATCCTGCTCACCACCTGGCCCATAGCACTGGCCCCTTTGGCCTCTGCTCTCTCGTGGGCTCTTCCCCTTGCTCCCTACTATTCATTGAATGTACTAGGCTGCTCCCTCTTCAGGCTTTGGCCCTGCCCTGCTGATGCCCTCCTGGATACCCATGTGGTCCATCTCATTTGCTTTACCTCCTGGACTCAAGCTGTATTTCCAGGGGTGTCCCTGGAGGGAAATGCAGTCATTTCCCTCTTGCCTTAAAGCAGCAAATCCAAACCACACAGTTAGGCTCAGGACAGACCCACCTCTACCTCTGGCAAACCAGATTCCTCCTGATTCTCAAGTCTGAGAACTCAGCAGGCAAAGGTGTATGGCACCAAGCCTGAAGACCTGAGCTCAACCTCTGGGACCCACATGGTGGAAGGAGAGAACTGATACCACCTGCCTGCAAGTTGTCCTCTGACTCCACATGTGAACCTTTGTACATTCACAGTAGAGGAAAAGTGGACTGAGGGCAAATTTGCTTACCTTAATGGGCACATTGTTTACATGAAGTAACAGTGTCTTCACCTTACCAGGAAAGAAACTGATGGGGCAGCTTATTGAGTATCACACCTTGGGGTACCACCCCATCAGGGTTGAACCTGGTCAGGGTCAAGATGATCAGCCTGGATTGTTAATGTTTACAATACTCAAGGTGTTGTCCCCTGAGGACCCAACATCTGGTCATTACTGGTCACTGCTAACGTCTGCAAGGACGTCACCATGTGTCCCTTGGCATGGGGGCTCTGTTCCGACTGGAACGAGTACAAGAGGCAAGTTTGGTGAATGTTTTTTTCTCAGTGGGACAGAATGGGGAGGGAGAGAGAAACTGGTTGGGAGGAGGGTGACTGATGGAAACACTCTGGTTGAGATCTCTGGGGCCATCACACTAACCCAGTTACAAGAAAAGAGAACAAAACCCCCAAACCCACCCAAGAGTGATTTTAAGTCAGTCTGGCTGCCCCTCTCCTCTCCCTAGCAGACCAGTCTGGACAGACCTGGACTCCAGGAACAAAGTGGGGCCTTGCCTCAGGTTGCTCCATGGCCGCCGGATCACAAACTGCTCTGGGATCCCCCAGTGGAAGAGGCTCTGTCACCACCTGACAGTCTGGTAAGTGAGGCCTGGCAGAGCTCAGAGAAGGCCATGCCGGGTGGAGGAGCGTGTGGTCTGAGCAAAGGTCCTTGTTGCTCTGACACAACACACTGCCGCTCCACCATGTCCCACCCATAAAAGGCATCATATCATGTAAAGATGCCCACGTGCCAGGAACCCACGGGGCACTCCTAAGAACATCCCATCCAGGGACACAGACGGTGGAGAAAGCACAGCACCCAGGAGTGGAGGGTCGGTGTTCCTGGCTCCCGCAGAGCCCTCAGCCCGGCTGCCCATATAAGGCCGCGGGTGTCCAGTTCAGTTCCAGGCCCTTTAGGACTCCTGCGGAGGCGGCCGGGAAGGAATGTATGGAATCTCCCTCCCTAGCAGCCGCCCACCACAGGGTGGACCCGGTGAGCCTCAGCGCTGGGAGCACAGCTGGTGTCCCTGTCCACATCTTCAGGTCCTCCCCATCCCTGGCCTCAAGCCTCCCCATCCCTCTCCTCCGTCCCCCATCCCTGCCCTCTGTCCCCCGTCCCTGTCCTCTGTCCCCCATCCCTGCCCTCTGTCTCCCGTCCCTGTCCTCTGTCCCCATCCCTGCCTTCTGTCTCCCGTCCCTGTCCTCTGTCCCCTGTCCCGGCTCTCAGGTCCTCCGTCCCTGTCTCCTGTCCCTGCTCTCAGGTCCCCCGTCCCGGTCCTCTGTCCCCCATCCCTGCCCTCTGTCTCCCGTCCCTGTCCTCTGTCCCCTGTCCCTGCTCTCAGGTCCCCCGTCCCTGTCCACCGTCCCTGCCCTCTGTCCACCGTCCCTGTCCCCGTGGCTGTCCTCTGTCCCCCAGGTCATCGTCCTGGGTCTCCCCGCGGCCCGTGCGCGCCACTGTCTTGCCGCTGGGGGGAGCGCGGCTCTCGGCGGAGCGGGCAGGGCTGCAGCGCAACCTCACCTGCCCCGGGCGGCGCGGCGGGGCCTGGGCGTGGGAGGAGGAGGAGGCAGCGGAGGTGGAGGAGGCCGGAGAGGAGGAGGAGACGGGGAGGAGGAGGAGGCCGGGGAGGAGCCCGCCGCGTCCCGCCGAGTGAAACTCCAGCCGCGGAGCCCGGGGACGCGGCCGGCTCCCCGCGGCGCCCATGGCGCTGAGCAAAGGGCTGCGGCTGCTGGCGCGGCTGGACGCGGACGGCCAGGGCAGCGTGCTGCTGGAGGCGCGCGGCCGCGGGGACGGGCTGCTCTTCGAGGCCGGCGTGGTGGCCACGCTGGGTGAGTGCCCGGAGCGGGGCGGCGGCTGTTCCCCGAGGGGGCGGCCCGGGTGGCATGGGGACCGCCGGGGCGGGCGGGGTGCAGCGCGCAGAGGGAGCAAGTGTTCCGGGACGCCGGAGAGCGCGCACCCCTGGGCGGGGAGCACCCCTAGGTGTCGAGGCAGTGCTCCCTTCTCCGGCCTCGCGGTGCGCTCCTCCCAGGGGTCTGTTTTTAGCCAGCCCGCAAGCTGGTGGACCCTGACTTTGAGGACCCAGGACTTTGAGGAGGTTGTCATAGGAGTCCACGTCGGTGCTCTCTCTCTCTCTCTCTCTCTCTCTCTCTTCTCTCTCCCTCTCCCCCTCTCTCTCTCTCTCTCTCTCTCCTGTGCACCTGTTGATGAATCCACTCATGGTTCCACTGCTGGAGGGGATGGCACCCAAGCACCCAGACTTGGGGGAGCGTTGATGGCACCCCTCGATGATCAGAAGTACTGTGATACATACAACCAGGAGGCAAATAGACGATCTGGTGACTTTTATCTTTGTGCTGGGTGTTAACTATGCCCAAACAGTGTATTTTATCTGTAGACTTCAGAAGTTCTGAGAGTGTCATTATACTAAGGACTTTAGAGACTTCATCTCATTTACTTTTCACAATTTTATCCCATGGTACAGATGAACAAACTGAGGCCTGAAGAGGTTAAGACACTTACCAGGCCAATAGTCCTCTGTGGCCGTTTTGGTAATGCCATTCAGTGCATGGCTTCCTGGTGTGGCTAGCTTCCTGACCCTTGTTTTGTAGGGACATTTGCAAGGAAGGCCTAGAAAATCTAACACCAAAGGCTGAGAAGTCAGATAGGACTGCCAGAATTTTAACGTGAAGCTTGGAGGGCCAGCTTAAAACAGTGGGTGTCCAGCTGCCCTTCCTGGTATTCCTAACTAAACAGAAGTGCAAAGCAGGGTCACTTATACTTTAGGACTGTATGCACGCAACTAACACGCAACTAGCACTCACTTGCATACTGCTTTATAAATGTGTCCAGTCTCATTTTCGCATGTGTATACATTGACTCCAGTTATGATATAGACATATATGTATATATATGTTTGTATATTTAAGTGCAAGGAACATCTGTTTCCACTTCCTGAACCATGCCATTAACATGTAGTAGTTTATCTAGCTGGGTGTGGTGGTACACACCCCGAGTTCCAACTATTTGAGGTAGGAGGATGGGTGAAAGGATCACCTAAGCCCAGGAGTTTTAGATCAATCAGAGGAGGCAACATAGCCAGACTCAAAGCAAACAGACAAATATAAATAAAAAACAAAGCCAATAGCAAGTAGCTGACTTGCTGTCCTTCACTTACTGAAACAATGTCTCTAGTATTATGGGTGTCAAAAGTATACAGATTCATGAAACAGTTATTATTGCATTATTCCAATTTTGGCTCTGTCCTGAAAAGTCCAAATTTGGTCATTTCTTACAGCCTTGAAAGAAAACCACAGACTTTTCCCTTCCATTTTAGATGTCTGCTTCATGCCACATTTATCAACCCAAAGATTAATTTCATGGTGCAAATCTTTTGTTTCATCAAAGAGACCAAAATATCCTTCAGTTGGACTGCAGCAGTGCTAAGCAGAGTTCATACATGTGTAAGTTTCTTTGAAGCCACTTGGAGCAGTTTGAAAGCGAGGATTTAGAATGATTAATGAAAGCATCATGCATATCTTCCATCGGGTAATTAAGTTTGGGCTGAGAGGAACTGACATGGTATGGGTGACATAGTGCTTTGGATTTTACAGCAGAGGACGTAATGAAAGGGATTAGCTGGCTCCCAGTACTCTCAAGTGTCGTCCACATTTGCCTGGTCACCTAGCATTTGTTTTTCAGTAGACCTTGGACTGAGTACTTACATTTTTTGGTCTGTTTTTCTTTTTCAAATGAAACTATTTTTAAAAAGAAACTAGTGTTTGCTGATGCTGCTGTCCAATGGATTATAAGAGCCATTTGTTATTAGAAAGTTATTGTTTGAGATGTTTAAAATGCTTCCTAAATGCATCATTGTTGGATAGAATAACTCTGAACTTGAAATGTCCATCTGTGTCCCCAGGGCTAGTTAGCTATGCTGCTTTCTTTTCCTTGATAGGTTTGAGACCTTTCCTCTTTCCCTAGAAAGTCACACTCTTTCCTTAGTGGTGGCAATGATAATACACATATGACAATCCAATGCCGGCTCTTTCCTTGAGGGAAAGGCATGTGGCTACCTCTGTTTCTCTTCAGCTGTGTTTTCTTGTGTTGAGTGTCCCCAGTGGGTCTAGGGACTAGTACCCTGTGTCCAGATTAGTGCCGTGTGGGAATGGTCCTTCCTGGCCCCTGTACGGTTCTAAGTTCTGCCCACACTTTTACTGGGTGTGACAGGCAGTTTAAGGGACTGAGCACACAGCCATAAACACATCCACCACCTAGATTGTGTGCTTGCATGCTCCTGGCTAATTTCCTGGTGGAGGATGCCAACTTAAGAAATGCCTGTTAAGGGCTGGAGAGATGGCTCAGAGGTTAAGAGTACTGACTGCCCTTGCTAGAGGACCTGGGGTCAACTCCCAGCACCCACATGACGACTAACAACCGTCCATAACGCCAGTTCCAGGGGAATCTGACGCCTTCTTCTGACCTCTGCGAGCATTACAGGACATGGGTGCACTTAATTCATGCAGGCAAGACACTCATACACATAAAATTTAAAAATTGATTAAAATATACTTTTAAAATCATATTTTAAAAAAATGCCTTTTACTGAGGGGCTAGACACTGTCTTAGTGACTAAAAGTCAGTTTGGGAAAATGGGATCTTGGATTAAATGGTGTGCTTAGGGAACATTTATGATGCATGATTGTTGATGGTTGGACTCTAACCTGCTCTAAACTCTTCCTCTTCCAAGGTGAGTTTTTCATGGTCTCCACATAAGATCATCTTGCCTAGCAGAAGGATTGTTGAAGGGATAATTCCAAAGCCCTGCTTCTAAAAGAATCCAGTGGAAAATCTTTTGTGTGGACCAGTGGCAGCCAGTCTTCTAGAGGCAGAAGATGCACAGATAACAGCAGTTGGAAGGTTCGCAGACTTTGTGGTCAGTGGTTAGAGCTGAAAAGCTGGAACCCAAGCATCTTCTCTGGCTGCACTCCAGAATTAGCATACAGATGCTCTGTTCTTGCATGTTGGGGCTACAGGGTTTGTTGTCTTCTGCCTCTCTCTTTTAGACAAGGTAGACACATGAAGGGAAATGTGCTGGTCTTCAGTGGGTCTCAACTGCTTTTCAGAATGAGTGTGAGTGTCAGTGCACAAAGTTCAGGATTCTCCAGACAGCCTCAGGAAGGAGGTGGCTGGAGAGTGGCTTGTGTTTACACCTGAGTTTGTGCAAGTGAAACTCCACATCTTCCTCCTCCAGCCCTGTCCATATTAAAGGATGGCAAGAAGGGAAGGAGGAATGGGGAAGGAGACATGAAAGAATTGGTGAATGCCCCTAAATTTCTTTGGACTTTTGGGGGAAAGGTTATACATAAGCAGCTGGCTTCATGGAAATCCCAGCTGCTGTGTTTGTGTAGAGACCACAATCCTCTGGCCTTTGTTGCCCTTTGGGGCATTCCTGCCTCCCAGCTCCCTGCAATTTGCTATCCAAATTACCCAGCCTATTTCCTGCTGGACCTTCTCCCAGGGTCCCTGACTGGATGGGCAATGGGCAGGTCCATCCTAGGCCTCCATGGGTGAGTTGGGGGTGGGTAGAATGCCCAGGCTGGTGGGCATCACTGTGTACACTTGAAACCCCTGGCAGGGGTAGAAATCCAATGGGAGAGACAGTGGAGGAGAAGGGACTAGGCCGGGGCAGCTCTTCCCCTTGGCCACATTCTAGACCTGGCCTTCTGGTTAGTCATGGGGGTGTGCTTCTCAAGGTAGGGGGACAGATGGGTTGTATTTAAGTCGACTAGTTTGATTGAAAACATAAAAACAGTTCAACATATGGGATGGAGCGATATCCATGGTCCTCTGACCCTAGACTCTGGAGATTGCCAGACTGGCACCTATGTGCGTCTGTGAGCTGTGACCCATTTCTGGAACATTCTTTGGGTGCTCAAGTTCGCCTTTATGATTTTTGGCTGTTAAGTTTCTTTGGCCTCGCCAAATGAGGATGGGGGCTATTTTTTCCCCTATTTGAATTGTTCTTCAAGTCCTGGATAGACTGACCCAGACTCAGACTTGGTTTGGAGTCCCTGAGCATTTCTGGGTAGGCAGTGTTACCTACCAATGCACCATGAGGCAAAAAATCAAATCAGACCAGGCTGGTGTCTAAACTTGTCAAAGCTGACTTAAAGCTAAAACCCCCAGAGCTGCCTGCCCTTCTATAATAGGACACGAGGCTGTCTCAGGTAGGCTGGGCCTATCCTTAATCCAAGATAGCCCAGCTAAGAGCACTTCCTGTTTTCAAGGCCCCACCAAAGGGGCTCCCCCCTCCACCCCACCCCTCACTGTTCATGTAAACATGACTCATTCTTAAGGAAAATTTAGAAAGTACATGAATACCTCTAAACATTTACAGGGCCTTGACCCACAACTCTACCAGTAGAAACATTCACAGATCACAAGCCCATTTTTCTTCAGGGAGGCTTGTTGCAAGCTGATTTGAAGTTTTTACTGGTTAAATAACTTTGGTTCAACTCAATTATAGCCAGTTAGCATTTGCTTGCCAGATACCAGATGCCATTCTAAGTGGTTTACATATATCAATTTATTTAATCTCCCCAATGAGACAGGTGCTAGTAATCTTGATTTTATCCTTGGAGAAACTGAGGCACAGAGAGCTATAAAAACTTACCTGAGGGTTTAACCTCTAGTTGGTGGCAGAGCCATGATTTGGATCAGGTTTACCCAGAGGACAACATGTCCAGTAAAATACCATTCTTAAGTATGAAAATAGGCAAATTTGTGTTTGGAGAAGGACTTGCTTTGTCCACTTGGCTTGGTGCTTTAT